CACCACCCTCACAGCTCCGCCCGCCGCCCATCTCGTCGTCCAGTTTGACGCCTTCGTTCTGGAACCACACCCGACGTGAGTGTTACTTTGTCTGTCTCTCTGTCTGTCTCCTATGATGATTTCAAATACCAGTCAGTTTAGGAATTGAATGATTGATGATTGAGTGATGTTCCTAAGAAGTTTAGGAATTGAATAATTGATGGAATGACGTTCTTGAGAAAGACAGCCTGTATGAGGCTGTTAATGACACAGCGCCTTGTGTGGGGGCTGCCAACTTCTCTTCATCAATGAAAACGAACAGAAGTTGAACCAGTTGGGCACTCTTAGAGAGCATTGGTCGTACATACATCTGTACAGGCACCACTGTCGCTCAGATCTTGATGGGTGTGATATACTGCAGTCCGTCCTCCAAAAAATGGGGCGGTAAATGTAACAGCACAAATAAATGCAATTATGTACTATTCATAGCAGTTAGGAATTGTACTTATTTGCACCTGGTATTAAATCGTACTGTCAAATAAATTGTGAATATTTGAGTTTACCTGAAAAGCTGAATAGAAAACGACGATCTAACCTAATCTTCTTGGAGTTTGAAGATAAGGATTTTATTGCTTCTTAATTACAATTAGCAAATAACCTATAGCTATACTGATATTACACTTTTATAAAACAAATAAAACAAAACTAAAATATATCAATAAATTGTAAAGTAACTCAGGATATTTTCAAATTTTGTATAAGATCTCTATTCTTTAATAAAACTGAAAGAAATTCCTGATATTTAAAACTTGTGTTTAGCGAATTGAACTTGAAAACTTCATTCTAAAATTGAGTGTCTTAACAGAAAACGAGGAGAATAAATAGAGAGGTAAATATAACGGCCCCATAAGTGCAATTTTGTACTATGTATGAGAGTATGAAAATTTACTTATTATACTTAGTATTAAACCGTACTGTCAATTTGGAGGATGGGTTGCATACTGACAAGTTCAGCCAGAATGGGTCGAGACTAGAGAGGAGGATGATGCTGTTAAAGATTCGCTACCTGGAACAAAAAGCTCCAATTAGCACGGGCTATGGTGAGCCCGTTTTGTTTACTAGAGTCATCATCCCACAAGCGGGGGGTCTACCTTGTCCAGCATTCTGACAAATGACGCGTCATATAAATGTCCTCCATATAAGGTTTTGCAGCCCGTGCTGTCGAGAAGATATCACGTGTCTTAGTGTTGTGTGTCAACTGTCTTGTCTGCCAGGCTCAACACTTGGCTCCTTGTGGCTACCAAGACTTAATTCCACAAGTTTCCAGCTTCGTCACTGAGCGCTACGTGTTTGGGTTCACTCCTCCGTGTGTGTCCCAGACTCCTCCATGTGTGTCCTCCGCGTCTATCACAGGAATATATTGATGCAAAAGATATCACAATAACCTGGCTGAAATATGTTGACCAGACCACACACTAGAAAGTGAAGGGACGACAACGTTTCGATCCATCCTGGACCATTCTCAAGTCAGAAACGTCGTCGTCCCTTCACTTTCTAGTGTGTGGTCTGCTCAACATAATGATGCAAGTCTTTTACGTATTAATAAGTCTCGTAGAAGTCAGCCTTTCCTCTCGAGTGTGTAAGGGTTAATGCGCAGTCATTATTATAGGCTAAACCTTGAGGGGCAGAGTACCCCAGGATCAGACAACTGCCTCTGTGGTACTCTGGCACTGGTTGAGTGACTCTCAGGATCAGACAACTGCCTCTGTGGTACTCTGGCACTGGTTGAGTGACTCTCAGGATCTCTCAGGATCAGACAACTGCCTCTGTGGTACTCTGGCACTGGTTGAGTGACTCTCGGATCCTGCTACGTCCAGGATCACTTAGCACTCTCGGATCCTGCTACGTCCAGGATCACTTAGCACTCTCGGATCCTGCTACGTCCAGGACCACTTAGCACTCTCGGATCCTGCTACGTCCAGGACCACTTAGCACTCTCGGATCCTGCTACGTCCAGGACCACTTAGCACTCTCGGATCCTGCTACGTCCAGGACCACTTAGCACTCTCGGATCCTGCTACGTCCAGGACCACTTAGCACTCTCGGATCCTGCTACGTCCAGGACCACTTAGCACTCTCGGATCCTGCTACGTCCAGGACCACTTAGCACTCTCGGATCCTGCTACGTCCAGGACCACTTAGCACTCTCGGATCCTGCTACGTCCAAGACCACTTAGCACTCTCGGATCCTGCTACGTCCAGGATCACTTAGTCTCGTCTTGTTAGTAGTTCCTAATTAGTGAGAAAACTTAACCTGAGAGACCTAGTGTTTGAAGGTTTGTAAGTAGACCAAAGAGCCAAACCTGGCCAAGGGCACCTGGAGTGTCCAACACAACCACACACCTGGCCAAGGGTACCTGGAGTGTTCAACACAACCACACACCTGGCCAAGGGCACCTGGAGTGTTCAACCACACACCTGGCCAAGGGTACCTGGAGTGTCCAACACAGCAACACACCTGGCCAAGGGTACCTGGAGTGTCCAACCCAACCACACACCTGGCCAAGGGCACCTGGAGTGTCCAACACAGCAACACACCTGGCCAAGGGTACCTGGAGTGTCCAACCCAACCACACACCTGGCCAAGGGCACCTGGAGTGTACAACACAGCAACACACCTGGCCAAGGGCACCTGGAGTGTCCAACACAGCAACACACCTGGCCAAGGGTACCTGGAGTGTCCAACCCAACCACACACCTGGCCAAGGGTACCTGGAGTGTCCAACCCAACCACACACCTGGCCAAGGGCACCTGGAGTGTCCAACACAGCAACACACCTGGCCAAGGGTACCTGGAGTGTCCAACCCAACCACACACCTGGCCAAGGGCACCTGGAGTGTCCAACACAGCAACACACCTGGCCAAGGGTACCTGGAGTGTCCAACACAACACACCTGGCCAAGAGCACCTGGAGTGTTCAACACAGCAACACACCTGGCCAAGGGCACCTGGAGTGTCCAACACAGCAACACACCTGGCCAAGGGCACCTGGAGTGTCCAACACAGCAACACACCTGGCCAAGGGCACCTGGAGTGTCCAACACAGCAACACACCTGGCCAAGGGCACCTGGAGTGTCCAACACAGCAACACACCTGGCCAAGGGCACCTGGAGTGTCCAACACAACCACACACCTGGCCAAGGGTACCTGGAGTGTCCAACACAACAACACACCTGGCCAAGGGTACCTGGAGTGTCCAAGACAACCACACACCTGGCCAAGGGTACCTGGAGTGTCCAACACAACCACACACCTGGCCAAGGGCACCTGGAGTGTCCAACACAACCACACACCTGGCCAAGGGCACCTGGAGTGTCCAACACAACAACACACCTGGCCAAGAGCACCTGGAGTGTCCAACACCACACACCTGGCCAAGGGCACCTGGAGTGTCCAACACAACAACACACCTGGCCAAGGGTACCTGGAGTGTTCAACACAACAACACACCTGGCCAAGGGCACCTGGAGTGTTCAACCACACACCTGGCCAAGAGCTCCTGGAGTGTCCAACCCAACCACACACCTGGCCAAGGCCACCTGGAGTGTTCAACCACACACCTGGCCAAGAGCTCCTGGAGTGTCCAACCCAACCACACACCTGGCCAAGGGTACCTGGAGTGTCCAACACAACCACACACCTGGCCAAGGGCACCTGTAGTGTTCAACCACACACCTGGCCAAGAGCTCCTGGAGTGTCCAACCCAACCACACACCTGGCCAAGGGCACCTGTAGTGTTCAACCACACACCTGGCCAAGAGCTCCTGGAGTGTCCAACCCAACCACACACCTGGCCAAGGGCACCTGGAGTGTTCAACCACACACCTGGCCAAGAGCTCCTGGAGTGTCCAACCCAACCACACACCTGGCCAAGGGTACCTGGAGTGTCCAACACAACAACACACCTGGCTACGGGGTCGTCCAGTGTGTAATATTTTCTTTTCATTGTCATCTATCTTAATCATTAATCATGACCATTGATTATAATAATCAATGGTCATGCATTTTGCATCAATATTCTCTAGTTTCTTCAAGCGAGGTTTTTTGTTCCCGTTTCTAAATTACATTTTCACACCATAAGACTTGTGCAGTACAAGCATTGTACTTGTAAAATAAAAATGGAAAGCAACTGAAGAATCCATGGTTCAGTCTGGTATGTAAGGGAAAAAAGCAATGAAGTACAAGGACATGGAGAAATTACAAATAGAACACCAGAGAGCACGAGAAGATACCAGAGGGCCAGGGGTCAGATTCACGAAGCAGTTACGCAAACACTTACGAACCTATACATCTTTTCTCAATCTTTGGCGGCTTTGTTTACAATTATTAAACAGATAATGAGCTCCGAAGTACCAGGAAGCTGTTTATAACAATAACAACAGTTGACTGGGAAGTTTTCATGCTTGTAAAGTGTTTAATAAATGTAACAAAAGCCGTCAAAGATTGAGGAAAGATGTACACGTTCGTAAGTACTTGCGTAACTGCTTCGTGAATCTGGTTCCAGGAATGAGTACCTCAGAGTGAGGAGAGAAGCAGAGAGTATAAAACTGACATCGCGAGTAAAGCCAAGACCCAACCAAAGCTGCTCCACAGCCACATCAGGAGGAAAACAGCAGTGAAGGAACAAGTGATGAAACTGTTAAAAGGGGGAGTAAATATACTCTGACAAGGTGCGTGAAGAACTCAACAAGGGATTCCAGGAGGTCTTCACAATAGAGCAAGGAGAAGTCTCTGTCCTGAGAGATGAGTCAGTAACCAAACAACCTTGGAGGAATTTAAGCTTACCAGTGAGGAGATCAAATTAAATCTGTTGAAGCTAAATGTGACAGAGGCTGTTGGGTCTGACAAAATCTCACCAGTAACACTTAAGAAGGTGCGGAATCTCTGTATGCGACACTCTATGGTGTATAACAGGTCACTGGAAACAGGAGACCAACAGGAAAGTTGGAAGACCGCTAATGTAGTCCCAATATACAAAAAGGGTGACAGGCAAGAGGCGTTGAACTACAGGCCAGTTTCCCTAACTTGTATACT